GTGATTCTCTTGCCTCAGCCTCCCAAGTAGCTGGGATGACAGGCGCCCGTCACAACACCCAGGTATTTTTTGGTTGCAGCCATCATTGTTGTTTGGCAGGCTTGGGCTGGATTTGAACTGGCCACCTTAGGTGTATGCGGCTGGCACCTTAGCCACATGAGCCACAGGCGCCAAGCCACATTGTTGGTTTTGTAACCTGAAAACACTACTATGAGTTAAAGCCTACTATGTGATCTACTATAGAAGCTCAGTAATTTTCCTAACTCAAGTATACTACCCAGACAGAAATAAGAACTAAGGGTGACAAAAATATATATCAAGTTTGTAGGAAGGTATCACTTTTTAAGCAACTCATTATAGAATCCTAAATTCTAAGGAAACTTTTCACAAGTCCCAAGAGAGCAACAATTAAAGAAGAATTATGCCAAAACAACTAAGACATGAGGGCGGTACCTGTGGCTCAAAGCAGTAGGGCACCGGCCCCACATACTGGAGGTGGCAGGTTCAAACCCAGCCTCGGCCAAAAAACAAACAAACAAACAAACAAAAAAACAACTACAACATGAAACAGAATCAGCATATTTTAGGAAGAAAAGAGACAGTGTAGAAAGAAATCATAGGGTGGCAGGGTGATAAGTGGAAAGAATATCCAATAGGTACCAGTTTCAGTTCCACTGCCAACCAGCTATGTGACTAGGGGTAAGCTACACCGCTCGGTGTCAATTTCTTCAGAATAAAATATGCAAATTAGAGTGAGTGATGGCTGAGACATTTAACACCTAAGTGTTCTGTATTTGTGGTAAGCTCAGAAAAGTTATGCTACGTTAGATTTTATATCATGGAGTCCCACTAGGTGAATGAATGACTTTCAGAATATAAATTTAGGTAAATGGGGTTAGGGGATAATTTAACATGAAAAAATAAAATTCAATTTCTAAAAACAGAAATTTAAACACTTACCATTAAGTTAGAAATTTTGCTCTCTCGTGATGTATATTCTCGTAACATGTAGGTCTTGTCAGCCTGTATTTACAAATAAAACAGTTACAATAAATTTATTTATATTAATTTACAAAATCCTTTCTATTAAACAGTCTGCCTACATTGTAGAACAGGTTGTGAAAGTGGCATGAAGTGTGACAAGAACATGTTCTAAACTGAGATAACTCCAACTTAGCTCTCATTAAGAACTCTGAATTATTTCCAAACTCTGTACATTACAGTAATACAGGGATATGTAAACAGATTTCATAATTACCATGAAAAAGAAACACAAACAAAGGTTTTACTTTGAAAGAACATATATATAAAAAGATGAAATATGCAAGAGATTTTAATGTTACTTCAAGTTTAGAGTGGGCAAGGTGGTTCATGCCTGTAATCTCAGGCAAAGGCAGGAGGATCACTTGAGGCCAAGAGTTTTTTTTTTGAGATAGAGCCTCAAGCTGTCACCCTGGGTAGAGTGCTATGGCATCACAGCTTATAGCAACCCCCAACTCTTGGGCTCAAGCGAGTCTCCTGCCTCCGCCTCCCAAGTAGCTAGGACCACAGGCACCCACCACAACACCCAGCTATTTTTTTTTTTTGGTTGCAGCCATCGTTGTTGTTTGGCAGGCCTGGGCTGGATTCAAACCTGCCACCTTAGGTGTATGTGGCTGGCGCCTTAGCCACTTGAGCCACAGCTGCCGAGCCAAGTCCAAGAGTTTTTAAGACTGGCCTGAGAAACACACAGACATCTGTCTCTACAAAAAATAGAAAAATTAGCCAGACGTGGTAGCGTGCACATGTTATTCCAGTTACTCAGAGGCTGAGGCAGGAGGACTACTTGAGTCCACGAGTTTGAGGTTACAGTAAGCTCTGACAAGGCCACTGCTCTCTAGTAGTCCAGACAACAGAGTGAGATCTTATCTCAAAAAACAAAAACTACTTCAAGCTTGGAATTATCTTTTCCTTAAGCTATGTTATCATTTACCTACATAACCATGGCTACTGTTGTTCCAAAAAATAGATTAGTACTTACTGTAAAAAGCTCAAGTAATATAAAATTATAAGGAAGATAGTATAAATCATCAGCAGTCACAGCTCTTATCAATAACATTATCTTTAATATTTAGAAATTTTTACAAATAATCTTTTTTTTTTTTTTTTTTTTAGAGACAGAGTCTCACTTTGTTGTCCTTGGTAGAGTGCCGTGGAGTCAAAGCTCACAGCAACTTCCAGCTCTTGGGCTTACGTGATTCTCTTGCCTCAGCCTCCCAAGTAGCTGGGCTGGGTTTGAACCCACCACCCTCGGTATATGGGGCTAGTGCCCTACTTACTGAGCCACAGGCACCACCCACAAATAATCTTTTATGAGATAGAGTCTTGCTCTGTTGCCCAGGCTAGAGTGCCATGGTGTCAGCCTAGTTCATAGCAACCTCGACCTCCTAGGCTCAAGCAATCCTCCTGCTTCAGCCTTCCTAATAGCTATGACTATAGGTATGCACCACCGCATCCAGCTAATTTTTTCTGTTTTATTAAAAGAGTCCTTGCTTTTGTTTAGGCTGGTCTCAAACTCCTGCACTCAAGGTATCCTCCTGTCTCAGGCTCCCAGAATGCTAGAATTATAGGTGTAAGCCATCACCATCTTATTAGATTCACAGTCACTTTTTAAAATTTGACAGAGACGAACATCTTTCCAAACTAGTCAAATATAATTATCTACCATCAATTTTTATGACTGTATATTTTTCTATTCCATAGGTATAAAATAAATAGGTTAAATAATGCCCACTTAATGGGCATTAAGTTCCTTCTTTCTTTTTTGCTGTTATGAACAATACTGCAGTGATTTGGGTGGTGCCTGTGGTTCAGTGGATAGGGTGCTGGCCCTATACACTGAGGGTGGCAGGTTCAAACCCAGCCCCGGCCAAACTGCAACAAAAAAACAGCTGGGCATTGTGGCAGACACCTGTAGTCCTAGGTATATGGGAGGCTGAGGCAAAAGAATCACCTAAGCCCAGGAGCTAGAGGTTGCTGTGAGCTGTGATGCCACTGCATTCTACTGAGGGCAATAAAGTGAGACTCTTTCTCTAAAATAAATAAATAAACAATATTGTAGTGAATATTCATGTACATACAACTCTGGCCAACTGCCTGGTGAACATCTGTAGCTTACTGTATGAAAAAGTATTTTAGGACATAGTCAATATTGTTTAGTTACACACAGTTTTCATTTTTATTTGTTTACTTTTTAATTTCAGAACGTTACAAGCGTACAAATCGTTTCATGTAACTGCCTTTGTATAGTTGAGTTAAAGTTACTAAGTGTGTCCATCAAAAACATAGCATTTTTTGGGAGGCACCTGTAGCTCAGTGAGTAGGATGCCGGCCCCATATATCGAGGGTGGCGGGTTCAAACCCAGCCCTGGCCAAACTGCAACAAAAAACAGCTGGGCGGGCTCGGCGCCTATGGCTCAACCGGCTAAGGCGCCAGCCACGTACACCTAAGGTGGCGGGTTCGAATCCCCAGCCCGGACCCGCCAAAACAACAATGACGGCTGCAACCAAAAAATAGCCAGGCATTGTGGCAGGCGCCTGTGGTCCCAGCTACTTGGGAGGCGGAGGCAGGAGACTCGCTTGAGCCCAGGAGTTGGAGGTTGCTGTGAGCTGTAATGCCATGGCACTCTACCCAGGGGGACAGCTTGAGGCTCTGTCTCAAAAAAAAAAAAAAAACAGCTGGGCATTGTGGCGGGCGCCTGTAGTCCCAGCTACTTGGGAGGCTGAGGCAAGAGATTCGCCTAAGACCAGGAGTTGGAGGTTGCTGGAGCGACTCCACTGCACTCTACCAAGGGCGAAAAAGTGAGACTCTGTCTCTACAAAAAAAAAACAAAAACCAAAACATAGCATTTTTAAAATTTAGATTTCATCATTTCTGAGAGGCAAAGGTAGTCTACTTTTAGCACTTTACCACCACTTTTAGAAAGAAAAATGGTCTGTCACAGTCATGTTATTTCAAGAAGAAAACCATCATGAAGTGAAGGATTTGGGAAAACACCAATCCAATCCTATACTACTGGGTTCAAAATTCTAGTTCTGCCACTTAATCGTTCTTTGCTTTGGTTATCTCAGCTATAAAATAGAGACAATAACAAGATTGATTTCATAGGGTTATCAAGAGAGTTAACATTATTATGATTACTGTAACTAATATTGGTGGTCTCTAATTCCTCATCCTACAGGATCACAAATATAAAGTTAAAAATTCAAAAAGGACAGGCTACTATAAGGATATTAGAGGAATTTTTATAACTCAATTTAAGCACACACCATCCCACTCCACACCACCCCCGTTTTCAAGCACTTTTTAAAAACCTTGCATGTTAACAGTTCCTTCAGATGGAACATGGACCTTTCAAACTTAGAACAACTATCAAAATAATTACATAATACAAATTTGAGGTGGCCATGTGATTGATATTCCTAACATCGGGACATATATAAACAACATATACTATAAACAAAGGTTAGTTAAAGGACAGTTTTCTTAAATACAGATTAAGTACACAGAAAATTCTTTAAAAAGCATCAGATCCCTTTCCCACTAAAGAGTGTCTTTTAGAAAACATTTTCAGGAGGCGGAGCTTGGTGGCTCATGCCTGTAATCCTAGGAGGCCAAGGTGGGCGGATTATCTGAGCTCAGGAGTTGGAGACCAGCCTAAGCAAGACTGAGACATCGTGTCTACTAAAATTAGAAAAACTATCTAAGTGTCCTGGTGGGCATCTGTAGCCCCAGCTACTCAGGAGGCTGAGGCAAGAGGATCACTTGAGCCCAAGAGTTTGAGGTTGCTGTGAACTATGATAATGCCAGGATACTCCCCCCACAAAAAAAAAATAGGAAGGAAAAAAATATTTTCAGCTACTAGAGCTTTTGGAAAAGGAATTGTAATGTTTCAATAACAGCATGCAGTTATAGTGAATCTAAAACATCCAAACGTAAAGGTTAAAAAGATTGTCATATAACGTATTATTTAATTTCACATTTGCAAATTCACAGCAAAACAACATAAATAGGCCCAATACATGATATATTCATTAAATGAGAATAGGTACCTCATGGTAAAGTCTCGTGTCATTCATTCTGATAAGTACTCCATCAATTCTCAAGAAAAACCGCAACAGCAGGAAAAAACTAGAAGGCATGACTCTCTGAAAAAGAAAAGTACATTAATATTTTAATGAAAATCAAATATTTTATTACTTTGCTAAAAGAAAAACAATTTTTGGTTCAAATAATTTTTAATTTATAGGAAAACTATTTCATACACAGATCAATATCTGTGGTACAGTGGGCACAAATCAAAGTTTTTGCTTTTATGTGAATATTTCCTTTCCAGTATCTTCTCAAGTAAGTTAGAAAAAAATATAGATTCCTCCCTCACCCTGCTCTATTATTTATATTACTGATAACTACCCAGAAGTTGTTCTTGTAAAAGATTGTTGTTTAGTTATCGCAGAGTAACATTGATATCATTTACTGTTAATTTATAGCCAGTGAAGCCCCCACTATTTTCCTGTCTTGATAGAAGATGGCTATAACATTGCCTGACCTTATATTTTTTAGTCGCTTGGCCTTTGCCAGTCATAATCCTGAATGAACTTGTTTAAGTCATTTAACCCCTGTGTGCCTGAATACATTGTGCTTTTAAAGGAGTTATGTTTGTGCAAAGCTATTGTCTTCACGGGGAATGCCACAGAAGGCAGCTACATTGCAAGCCCCAAAGGCCCTGGGGACCACCGTCAGAAATGGCATGTTGGTCTAGAGAGCAGATGATCTAATCCCACATGTCATTTCTTCTGTTGAGTTTCTAAGACTTGCCAGTAAGAAGAATGCTTCCATCTCTTGCCTTTCCTAACTTCTGTAAAGACTATCACATAAATCTAAGGTCTTTTTCCAGTTTCCAACCAACAGACAATATGAGGCACTTGCAAAATTCTCAGTTTTGTTCTCTATCCCTCTTAGCAGCTCATGCTTGTGATTATGATGTCTGCCTCCTAAGTGCTCTTTCAAAGATTAAGTGTAAAATGCTAAAAACAGCGCAAAACCCTCTAGAGTGGGCCTTCCTAACATGTTGACATTAAAAAATTTATTTTTTAAAAAAACATTGGAAGAAAAAGAAAAAAAAAAATTGGAAGAAGGCTGAATTCACAGTATATAAAAATCCCTGAACTAGAGGTTTTTTGTCCTAGCCTCAACTAGCCTCAGAACCTTGTGTAAATTATTTAACATTGTGGCTTCAGTTTTCTATAATAGAAAAATGGTTTTTTCTAGGTTAAAAGATATTGAAGTTTAAAAGACTTAAATCATGTCCAGGTCATATTAAAATTATAATGTTCATTTTAAGAAATGGTAATGCTGATAATAAATGTCAAAACTAATGAAATGAAGATGAAAGGATAGCCTAGTTCTTTGTCACTGCTCACTTTTATTCACTTTACATAAAATAAAGCCAAAAGACGTTAACAGAATGCTCTATTCAGTCCAACCAATTAGATACTATTTCATATTGCCAAAAATGGTTTATTAGAATATTTTAAGATATTCTCTCATCATAGCTACAACCCCTATGCTCTCCGAGTATAAATCCTGAAGAAAGTACTGGTGGCAGAGAGGGGCTGATGAGGTATGAAGAGTTTAGGTCTTTATACTTAGTTAAGTAAACATGCTTGAGAAAGAACCTGACTTTTGGCAACTTGATATGTCACAGCAAATTGGGAAGCACATCATTACCTGACATTACTATAATTTATAGGGAAGAAGGATGTGCAACTTTTCCTCACATTTCAAAAGTAGTTATCAACAGTCACGCTGAGCACAACACAAGCAGGAAGCTCAAGTATTTGTTTCAGGATTACATAATGGAGAGAATAGGAAATAAAGAGACCAGAGGTCTAGTGCCATTTCTATCACAATTAAGTAGTGTATTTTAGGGCAGCTGTTTTCTCTTAAGGATTGTCTGGGAATTTGTGAGTATTTTTTGTTGCTACAATAAACAACCAGTACTGAAATTTAGCAAATAAAGATCAGAAATGATAGATCTGGAATGCACAAAACAATCCTATTCAACAAAGTCTAGTCCTGAATTCCACAAAATTACAATATTTCTCCTGGCATTCACGTAGGTGAAAAAAAAACCTATTTATAAATATCCAACCTTATAATTTAATTCCATTTTACATAGAAAAAAATTTACCCAAGTATCCAGGAAGGTAGTTTATAAGTCTAGGAAAGGTTATATTTTGTTTTATTTAGAACTTTACTAAGAATTGTTCACTATTTTAGAAAATTACATCACCCGAGGCAGACCTGTTTGTCCTATTTGACTCACTGATACCTGACATCTCTGCCAGCCTACATTTAGGGACACAAAATTCTAACCTAAAAACAAACATTGCTGAGAAAAGCTAATTCAGGAATATAAAAGAAAAATTAATGTCTGAAACAAACATCTTTTTTCTTTCTTTCCCACCTAATAGATACAATGTACGGGTATATGGCATATTTCCTTACAAACACAAATAATGTAACCTACCCTCATATTAATTCAATATAAACAAATAAAATTCAGAGCAACACACGGATATACAGTACTTATAATAGGAGTATAAAAGGGATATGTAACACTGCCCAGAGGAGTTACAAAAGGCCTTATTGAAGAAGTGATATTTTAGCTAGATCTTAAAGGATGAATCATTTAGTAAAGAGTTTCAGTTGAGGTTTTTCTGGAAAATGTTAGAAACCAAACCACAACCTAGTGGTAAACAACTATGGATAACTGCTAGTAGCCATCCATTTCTTTGAAGCATATTCCACCAATAACACTGCTAAGGGAAGTCATTTGTCCTCCACCGCCTACTGATGGATAACAATACAAAAAGAGAAGGGTGTCATTTCTGTTTTCTATTTCTACGCTGAAAATTGAAGTGGTAGTTTAATAACGCACTGAAATCCTAACACGTGGGTCACTTTTTAAAATGACATCCACCTTGCTGTATACAGAACCTACCAGATCATTTTTGGATCATTTTGGATCATTTTTAATCTAAAATGTGAAAATTAAGCCAAAATCTTCATTCAAGTTAAATAATAAGCAAATAAACTACAAAGTGGCTAGGCTGGTCTATTAAAAAATGCTTTGCTAGGTTCGGCACCCATAACTCAGTGGTTAGGGTGCCAGCCACATGCACGGAGGCTGACAGGTTTGAACCCAGCCCCGGCTTGCTAAACAACAATGACAACTACAACAAAAAAATAGCCAGGCGTGTGGCGGATGCCTGTAGTCCCAGCTACTTGGGAGGCTGAGGAATGAGAATCACTTAAGCCCAAGAGTTTGAGGTTGCTGTGACCTGTAACACCATGGCACTCTACCGAGAGCAACATAATGACTCTGTCTCCAAAAAAAAAGCCTTGCTAAAGTCTTAACAATATACTAAGATTCTGTGATTGATCTTCAATAAGATGTACTCAGACCCAAGTGCAATTGTATATGACTCAGTGTGATTCAAAGCGATTCTTGTATTTCTGCCCAATATTAGGAGTAGAAGAGAGACATTTATTTTATTTTATTTTATTTTTGAGACAGAGCCTCAAGCTGTCGCCCTGGGTAGAGTGCTGTGACATCACAGCTCATGGCAACCTCCAACTCCTGGGCTCAAGCGAGTCTCCTGCCTCTGCCTCCCAAGTAGCTGGGACTACAGGTACCCGCCACAACGCCCGGCTATTTTTTGGTTGCAGCCATCACTGTTGTTTGGCAGGCTGGGCTGGATTCGAACCTACCAGCTCAGGTGTATGTGGCTGGTGCCTTAGCCGTTTGAGCCACAGGCGCCAAGCCGAGACATTAATTTTAAATAAAAATCATAATACTCACAATTTTCACACTCAGGCTTGAAACTCCATGATCATGAAGTTCATCCTCAAAAAGAAGAACTTCTTCAAAAAACTTAATCTGTTCTCTGGCTTTCAATTTCTCTGTATCTATATGATCTGTTGTAGGTACAACCTAAAAGAAAAAAAATTTAAGAAGGAGCATGCACAAAAAAATTTTAAGGAGTTACAGAAACACAGGAAAGTAGTTTTGCCTATCAATCTTTCTTGTATAGCCAATGCTCACAGTTCTAAATTTAGGTATTGTTAGTAGACATCAAAGACCAGAATATCTCTCAATGCTGGAAAAAATGAAGATATTACCGACATGTTATATTACAGCTTCACAAAAAGGAAATAAAAATTCATCATTTTTCACAGAAGTCAGATTAAAATTGAGCATTCTGTTTTGACTATGAGAAAATTAACGAACTGAAAATAAGTCAGTGTGATAAGCTCCTACCATAACAGAAGGTCAAAGTGGTTTTGTGCTATGAAAATACATTTTTAAGGCAGTGCCTGGGGCTCAGGGAGTAGGGTTCCGGCCCCATATACCAAGGGTGGCAGGTTCAAACCCCGCCCTGGCCAAACTGCAACAAAAAAATAGCTGGGCATTGTGGTGGGTCCCTGTAGTCCCAGCTACTTGGGAGGCTGAGGCAGGAGAATCGCCTAAGCCCAAGAGCTGGAGGTTGCGGTGAGCTGTGATGCCACAGCACTCTACCAAGAGTGATGACAAAGTGAAACTCTGTTGCTAAAAAAAAAAAAAAAAAGAAAATACATTTTTAAGACATTCATATGGGACTTTAAAAATATTTTTCCATTTGAATATTGTCTATTTTCTCGACCAAACTCCCCAAGCCTACAAACAAAATTAAGTGCTTTAAATAAGAAGGTAAACAAGAACTTAGAGAAATTCTGAGGGAAACTCCTGGCACTGCAAAGGACTTTGAACAAAGCTGGCAATTTTTTCAATGTATTATCTTGTAGCTCATAGAAATACACTACATAAACTAACAAAAGCATCAAAACCCCCAAAGCAGATTGTGTCAGTGGATCACTGAACCCGAGCATCTAATAGTAGCAACAAAGTATGAACTGTGATACCATTTTTTTAATAATTCAATGTCACCATAAAATGTTCAGCTGTTCTATTCTTTGACAAGGTTAATCATAAGCAAATACAAACAGTGCCTGTCAAACCATAGATATTCAGTAAAAGGTAGCTATTACTTTGCTTTACTTAACAAATACGATTAGGTCATTTGACTTACAGACAGAATGAAGAAATGGAGAGCAATTTGAGATAACTGGACAAGAATCAGAAGAAAATAATAAAGGTTGCTAAGGAGACTGCGGAGATTTGGGGGAGAGATAATTAAGTGATGTAGGGGAAAAAGGGGGGCAACGAAAACAAAGTGGCACAATTAGTACATGATTCTCAAGAGGTCTCAATATGTCCATAGTTTTCCATGTTCAGTCTACAGATAACACATTAGCTCTGGGCAGAGAGGCACCACTCCTGAAGATGAAAAGTGGGAGGTGAAGGCAGAGTGAAGGGGCAGGGCATGTAACAACCCTTTACATCACACACAGGTTCATGATCATTAAAGATAAAAAGTTGACCTGACCACTAGAGATGTCTAAGGTTACAACACTTAAGTTAGCATTAAATATACACACTTGTAAACTCCCTCTCTTTTATACAGCTTAACTCTAATAAACTAATTTTATTACATTTTTTAAGATTCCTCTTATAGATACTCCTGACTTCCATAAAAATCAATCATCATGTGAATTTTCCCATTGGCAAATTGCTCCTTTATTAATGTTCCATAATTCTTCAGTAAATTATTGACTAAAATGAATCCATCAGTTTCGGCATTTTTATACTTGTTCTTATAAAATGTTTGAAAAGATAGACAAAACTAATTATGAAACACAAGTTAGAGATACTCATCATATTTAACTTTATGCTATCTTCTCTCATTGGCAATGACAAATACATCTAAAACTTTATACTTCTCAGCCCTCTCTCTTCCTCAACTCCATTTATCTCCTCCCTGAATTCAAGCATCTGGAAAAGAAAACAAAAACCAGCTAAATATAAAACTTAGGGAACACTTCTAGCTTCCAGTACTGCCAGAATAAGTAACCTAGACAAACCCCCTCTTGCTGAAGACAATTTAAGAAGCTAGCTGAAAAAACAACAACTTCTTAAAAGCATCAAATGGCCACGGCAGTGATGAGTTACTGGGCTGAGATTTAGAAGAAGGCTGCAGTCCAGAAAATTGAGTCTGTACTTGGCAGACTTGCTCCCTAAGGCATCAGCATTAGCAGACCCAGAGAAGACTCTGGCCTCCGGCAGCTTTTGATGCCATCATTGTTCAGTGCTCTCTACAGGCAGCAACCTCGCAGAATTCTCCGCCTACTCTCAATATGAGGATAACACCCTATAGAGCTATACTGGTTTCAGAGCTTCTTATCTACAGACCTAGTATACCTCAAACTGTCCCAAGACCAAGGTTGGCAAATTAAGATCTGCTGGTCAAATGTGCCCTGCAGCCTATTTTTGTATGGACTGCAAACTAAGACTGGTTTATATACATATATATATATATATATATAT